TAATTACTGACCTACCAAATGAACAAAAACAAAGATGATTCGTGATAGTATTAATGGAGATGGTAGTTCATGTTGCACCACTGTATTTTTTAGAATTCCAACAAGGAAGAAATTTTATAGAGATGTGCGCATTGAAAGTATTTGATGAAGGTACAGTTTCTTACAGAAGATGGTATAAAAAGTTTCAAACTTTCTCATAAGCTACTCTCTTTTTCAGCATCAGAGATTGCAAAAATCTTAACAATCGATTTTGGACCATATTTGGAAATTAGGATTGATGTGGAAATTCTCGAAATGGGTACTAACAAGGGGTGACAACAGCACTCCAAGGAAAGACATCATAATGCTTTTGGGATTCATCAAAACATACAGAGCTAGGCGGGGAAATTCTCTTGCATTCACCATATTCCCCATACTTCGCTCCCACTGATTATCACTTTTTTCTGTCCTTACAAAATTCTTTACTGAGCAAAAAAATTTTTAAATCGAGGTAGATGTGCGACAAGTACTGGTTTAATTTTTTGCCTCTGTGGAAGAGACATTTTTCTTTAAAGGTGATATACAAATTGCTATCACATTGGCAAGACATTATAAATAATGATGGCAATTATATTATTCAATAAAGTTTACTCAAGTATAAAATTTATTATTTTTTGTTATAAAAATAGACTATACGGTAGACCTAATGCATTTATCAGATCAAAAACCATAATATTTTATACTATAACATTAAAAGTTTTTTATTACAAAAACTTGCCTGAACTCTAGTACGCATCACTAAAATACAAATGACATACATATGTGCAGAACCTTTTGAACTCTTTGAATTTCGTTCTTCAATTAAAATTCAAGGGGGTAGAATGTTAGCATATTCAAGGGAAGACATTTACAGCATCTTTGGGCAGAAATGTTTAAAACAAAATTTAATTTACTCTTTCCCCTCTAAGATTAAATATTTCCATATTAATGACAAGCAAAATTTTGAGCTTCATTTCACTAAGAAAGTCCTTAATTGAACAGAATTTTGGAATTGAATTTAGAAAATGTGCTTGTGTTTTGTGCAAAATATTTGTTTGAATTTATATGTCAGAAATTTTTTTATTGTATAACTTTCTTTTCCTTACAATATGCATATCATTAATACATATGTTTAAAAAAAATGCATGTTAATTAAATTTTAGTTTCCTTATATTTTTTCAAGCTATATGAATTAATTGTCATAGATTATTTTAAAAACAAATATAATTATATACTTACTTTTTAGCCTGAAGCTTACTATCAAAAAATTGTTTTAATTAAAGATTTTTTTCTTTCAAAATTAAAAGAAGTATGAGGTGCAGATGTGGGAAAGAGGATGAAGCTTATGTTTGAGAAATATATTGTTTGAAGATTGTGTGCATAAATTTCCTCATAAGTAGAAGAGTGACTAAAATATTGTACTAGTGCATCCATTGCGAAATTAATTTGAAATAAATTGATATATAATTTTAAATTAAAGTGTTTCCTTTTTTGCATTGTAAGATTTCGGTATGACTGTAGAACTATTAATTTATATTATATTTCCCTGAACAAAACTCATGCGTTAAGCAAAATATCACATTAGCCTTTATGTTATGAACATATTTACATACATGTTATTTTGAATATTTATTTATAGAGAAACCAAATCTCAGAAGCAGCAAGCTAACAGGAATCGTAGCCAATTACATTCTTTCCTACCGATTCTGTTATTTAAATGTGTGATATGGATTGGACTCTCTTTGTAAAATCTTATCAAAATTCTCTACATCAAATTTTCTCCTTTGCATTCAAAGCACATTAATTATCTCTATTAGCTTGAGTTTGTGGATTTCATCTCTGAATGAATTCAGTGAGGATTGGAAGACACTGTCTGCCTACCTAACCAATTCTTTACTTAACGTTGGAGTTTATTTTACAATGTAGAAGGGAAGCTCTAATGGTGGTATTAGAAAAAAGTAAGATCTCAAAATCGACTGATGAAAAGGCATTGAATTTTATCACAATCCTGATACTATGTTTCACAGCTATATATTCCGTTTTACAGGCCATTGCGTATGACGATGACCCGTGGTTATCGCGATTCAAAACTTATGGATATGATATTGAAAACTATACTTTAAAATCTTGTATTTAAGCATTAATTTTTCTTGTATGCTCTTGTGCAATTATCATTTAATTGTCTAATCTCTCTGCTGCAATGAGTACTTCGCCAACGTTGCTGTTCTCTGATGAATTAACTTACGCAAAAAGTAATGTAGATCTCCCCAGAGGATCTTGATTCATCTGAGCAAATGGATATTCTGGGACTCAAAGCGAAAATCGATGACGTTTTTGAGAATCTCCGACATGTTTCTCGGTTCTTTTTTTCTTCATAACAGTTATAAATTTCTTAACGTACTGTGCAATGATTGGGAGGGGGGGCTTCTCTATACCGATGTTTCCATGCTGCCGCCCTTTGTAATTGCGGAAAATAGTATTTTACATCGTGATACATTTCAGTAGTCTAATTATTTTACTATGGGTTACAGGAAATGTCAATATTGAATTGAAGAAGCTGAGATGTGAATTTTATAGAAAAGTACGAATAAGGCTTGTGTATTTCATTCATGGCGGCGAGACTCAGCTGCGAAGAGAATTGTTTGGATATTCAACCTCACGTTTTCGGGATGTGAAATTGTTTCATTTAAAAGAAGCACGATTCTGGTTTTATCAGGGACTTTGATAACATACACTTTTCTCGCGACCAGTGCAAAAAAGTGAGATACTGTGTAAAATACATGGCTTTCACTAAGCAAAAAAAGATCTACATTAAGTACAGTTTACACAATATTTTATATACTTATCTGAAGACCTAAGAAAAACTTTTGTTTTCACAAAATGAAGTATTTTCGTATTAATAACCTTCCAATATACATCATTGTTGTTTTGGACTTCTTTGAATCACATGATTTATCACATCGCCCATTACATTTTACATGTTTGTAAGGACTAACAGCTGAACTTCATTTTTTCATTACATGTAGGGCTATTACCTGATGGCCTCCTACGTTTGATATGAGTCACTGTTTTCAAATGATAACAGTTTCTGCAATATGGGACGTAAAATTCAGTAAATCCATTTGATTTTTCAGAGGAACTCTCAAAGAAGCATCTCTTTTGTACTCCAACCAAGAGTTTATTATAGACATATTAAAGTAATGAAATATAATACAGAATGTCCACTTTACAGCAGTTCGGTGTAACGGCATTAAAAAAATGATATTTGATCTCTCCTTCCATGCTTTCATTTATTTATATTATTCACAATTTTGAGACACGCTACATGAAAATAAGTGGCCTACTTTGAACAGTTTTAAAGAAAATTTTGTTTTATTCTTAAATGAAACATAAGTTCTATGCTAATAGGCACCTGATATACAATTAATTGAACAAGCATAAAACTTAATCTTCTTTTAATTTTTGAAGTCCTATTTGTAGAATAAACATTAGATTCCCATTTTCAACGCAATTTCTAAATATTTATTTAAGGTATACGACTACGTTCGGAACCGTGATTTTCAAAAGCGCATAAATGGATAATTTTCATGATATATAATGGCACTTAGATTAGAATATATGCATAAAATTGTTTTAAGGACGTTTTGACAAAAAAATTTATTTAAATACAATATTTTGGCAAAAAACTAACTGAGAATAATCTTTTTCTCCAAATGTTCTCCTTTTGTAAAAAATGCTTCTTTAGAATAATATTTTGCCTGTATATAGCTCAGACCTCTGTTCAGAGGCTCAACTAGAAGTTTTCAAATATGTAACTTAAAAGTGGGTTTATTATATTTTACGACAACAGAGGAGAGCAATTTTAAGAAAAAAAAAGAATAATTATTTCAATTGGTGAAAGTAATGTGAATTTTTCAAAATTTCTAGTTGATCCTCTGTAGAGAGGTTTGAGCTATATACAGGCAAAATATTATTATAATAGAACCATTTTTCACAAATGGAGAACATTTGAATAAAAGATTATTCTAAGTTAATTTTTTGCCAAAATATTGTATTTAAATAATTTTTTTCAAAATGTCCTTAAAACAATTTTTTACATGTATTCTAATCTAAGTTACATTAAATATCATGAAAATTATCCATTTATGCGCTTTTTTAAAATCACGGTTCCGAACGTAGTCGGATACCTTATTTGAAAATACTGAATCGGGCATAAAAAGTCTAACTTTTACACTGAAATTTTTTTTAAAGATGTAGGAAATCACATAAATATTTAAGAATTAAGGAAAGATGCATTTAACTTTTGGCTGCAAATGGCTATACGCTACTATCATTTACTCTGCTGGGGACGTGCTTCCATCTACTGAGCAAAAATGATAGTATGCTACTATTCTTGTATTTATTAGTATAGACTTTCAAATTCAAATTGTTGAAAAATAGCAAAAATGTGTTCTAATGCTAGAACAATAGGGCCGAAAGATTAAGATAGAATTTTCAAATTTCATATGAAAGCGCTACTTAATATTAATTTTCAAATATTTTTAAAAAGTGTAAAACATTTGAAATTTTAAGAGAGATGGAAATATGTTAGTCTTGATTATTACATTTATAATTATTTTTTTTGCATTTTTTTTTGCAAAAATAATAACATTACAAAATCGTGTGAATATTTTCCTTAAAAATAAATCAGTAAAATTTTATCCTAATGAAAAACAAGTGGAAATTGAAAGTTTATATCTACTTATCTTAAATGCCACAGAAAAACGTTTTCAATTCCTACTATTAATTCTTCAATCTTTAATAAAATACTTTCTCTTCATCCATTCAAGTCAAAATACACTTTTTGAACTTGTTGTGGATGGCAATTGATGTTAATACAGTTTTTAAAATATTAAATCATTAATTAAATTAAAAAATGAAAAATAGTAACGAACAAAAATACGAGTCCAAGAGCATATATAGAAAAGAAAATCATTCGCGGTGTCCCTGTTGCGCAATGGACAGTGCGTTGGACTTCTCATCCAAAGGTCGTGGGTTCGCCTTCCACTTGGGATGGCCTAATTTCCGAGAATGAAATTTCTTTTTTACTTAACTATTTTATTAGAATAATTAAATAGAAAAAAAGAATAAACAGTAACAAATAAAAAAAATAATCCAACAACATATATAGAAAGGAAAAAGTAGAAAATTGCAAGGAAAATCGCCTTTTATTTTGTTACTTAATATTGTGATTCTGTCATATGTATATACATATTTATATTAATTGCGACTATTTAATAAAAAGTAACAAAAATAAAACTTTTCTTAGCTGACCTAAGTAGGAAATTACTTTTTTAGTACATTACTTGGCTTATATGATTGAAAGTCCCCAAATAAATTTTATTCAGCGCATCTTTTACTGTGCAACACAAGATGCAGATCATACAAACACACTGCAAATTTCAATTACTAAAAATCGAACTATATATATATATATATATATATATATATATATATATATATATATATATATATATATATAATAGTCTTTTTTAAAGAATTATATTTTTAATCGCTTATAGAAATGGTTAACAGTTAAAAATTATAGCAGAAAATTTATATATTCAAACAAATACATTACAATTAAATTATCATAACCACCAAACCATTTATGAGAAGATATAAAATTAATCCAAGACGCGATATTTTATAATATTTGTTAATATTACAAAACGAGCGAATATTTAAATTTGAGTTTTAAAAATTTGCCATTCCTGCATTGATAGAAATGATATTTTTTAAAGAACGGAAAATGGAGGAAAATCATTCTTTTTCCAGCAGTCTAAGTCATTTACAAATTCAGGGATTTTCTTAACGTGGGTAACAAGCCAATTCTACACCAGACATTTTCCAATATTTTTGTGAAGTTTTTGAAATTTGTAAACGAACGCCAAACGGATCAAAGTATTGTTTCTAATATCTCAGAAAAGAGAAAATGATATGTAATTGTAATGCTCAGGATCACTAGGACATTTCTCTACGTATTGTTGGATAAAGCATTAAATAAATGATATTGCATACATGAAAAGCAATTTTTAAGCATATAACAACTCAATACTGTACAGGTTGTAAAAGTAAATGTTGTTAGCGAAATCTGTTTTAGTAAATAATAATAATTAAATAATAATAATTGAATAGGTAAAAATAAAAATGTTGCATATTAAATAGATATATGATCAAAAAGAAAAAAAACAATTCATATCTCGAATATAGACAAAATGCTTAGTAAAACTGAAAAGTACGTTATTTCATATTTTTATAAACCATTTAGAGCTTTATTTTATAAACTGCTGTTTGTAAAAAAATGCATCACCATGAAGGAATCATCAAAATTAAATGAACTTTCCAGCAAATATTCAATTATAGGATGTTACGTAATACAGTAAAGTTTCAGAGCCACCGTACATGCGTGGCGTGAGGAAGGATTTTCCTATCACGCAATAGGGGCTCGTGGGCAGCGTAATAGTTCCACAGTGATGCAAGGTTGGACGCCGTGGACTGACGAGCACCGAACAACTCGAAAAACTGGCAGTGGATGACAGGAGGTGACGTCATTGCGCGACGATCAACACATGCTCCGCATGGCGGTGAATAACCGTACAGCTTTCTCCGGGCAGTTGGCAGCACGTTGGTATACTGCTACAGCTGTACTAATGTTGGCTTCGTCAATTCGTCGATGTCTACTGCACCGCGGATAGCGTGCTAGGGAGCCCTTATACATAATCCCCCTCACTGCAAATCATCTACGGCTGCGTCTGCAATGGGCTCATGAGCACAAAGAATGGCAAGCTGATTGGCACCAAGTTGTCTTTTCAGATGAATCACTCTTCAATTTGTAGGACCACGTTGGCCGCATTCGTGATAGATGCTATATCGGTCAGCGCTGCCTTTCAGAGTGCGTCATCGAATGACCTAGTGGTCTATCACCCGGAGTTAGGGTTTGGGGTGCTATTTCGTATCATGAACTGTAAAATTTTCTATGAATTGAAGATACTCTCAATAGCAACAGGCACGTCCGTGAAGTGCTCTCTCTACAGCCCGAAGTCGTTCCCTTCTTTTAAGGCATCCCTGGAGCTACCTTTCAACAGGATAATGCATGCCTTTATGATGCAAAGACGTTTAGAGACTTCTGTTTAGCCCAACACGTGCAACTTCTTCCTTGGCCTGCTTATTCTTCGGTTATGTCACCTATTGAGCTCGCGTGGGATTTGGTTGGTCGGCTTCTCGCTCGTTATCCGCTTCCTGCAGCTTCAAAAGACAAATTTTTGCTCTGCATGCAAGCAATATGAAAGTATCTTCCACAAACAGACATTTAAAATATGTTTGAGTCCAAGCCACGCCATATAGCAGCACCTACTACATCGCGTGGTGGCTACACCAAATACAGATTTCAGATACAATATAGTTTTTTTTCTTTGCAATTTTGACCATTTTTTTGTTCTAAGACAAGCCTTTATTCCTTAAATTTCATTTACATCTGATGATTCCTTCATGGTGTTGCATTTTTTACAAATAGCAGTTTATAATGTCGCCAATAGTTTTCGATAATACTTAAGTATCGAAAAATTTTACAGTGCAGTAAGGATATTTATTGTTCCATTATAATTGTTTTGGAAATCAACATATTCTAAGATGTGGTGGAATAATTTTTTTAATTACAATTTTTAACAATCTCCAAATTAGCCAATTACTATTAATACAATGCTACAAGTCCTATAAAAAAATGGGTAGTGAAACGGGCGTCAAATCTGGCGATATTTAAATGGAGCGCATACCATAAATATTCTTTATTATATCGATTTCTTAGAAGATATTCACTACGACTCACCTTTTATCGAAAGCAAAATTCCACCAATCCGTTTACTAAAGCTATCCTCCTTGTAATATTGTATTACATGCACCTTGCAAAGATTGTTTGACGAATTTCTATTCATTTGACACCTAAATTACAATGATAGAAGAAAAAAAAACGCATATGCGAAATTTTGGCGGCATTTTTCGCTCACTAATGGAAAGATTCGCAACTGGTAGACAGTATTATTACTGTTCTAGAAAGTTACAAATGGACAATAGCTTATCTTAACTTAGTAGCCCGTCTACCGCTGTCATCTGTTCGATGCACAGCGTTGACCGAGGGACACCACGTCGAGGTCAGCTACTTTGATCCCTCGATGCTGCTCTCTTCATCAAACCCTCAGGTCAGCCCCGGGAGAGTAAGGAAACACCCCCTCACGTGTATAGAATAAACTGTAAAAAAATAAACGTTATTCGGGGGAATGAAAAGCATTGGTGACATCCAATGTTGACTCGAAACGTCGACGATCTTCTGAAAAAAAATCAGTGTTACAATGAATTATTAAACGAAAAAAGTTATATTCTATATTCAAATTTAAAATATAATGCCTTAATAATTATGTAAAATAAAAATCTTCGAAAAATTATTATTGTACTAACATAGTAAGCTCTATCAAATATAACACCTGGAAAATGCTATACTAAATAATTCAGAAAAAAAAGTTTATCTATCTATCTATCTATCTATCTATCTATATATATATATATATATATATATATAAACATAAATGAATGTGTGTCTGTCAGTACTCGATAGATTCAAAACTATATTTCCAATCGCCGTGAAAATTTTGAAAATTATTAGGTATATTCCCGGGAAGGTTTTTGAAATTTTTTTTTAAAATCAGATTTGGGGCTCTGGGTGCACCCCAATCAAATATCGCAAAAATATCAAAATACTAAGCACTACTAAGATAAAGTTCTCCATCAATCATCAAATATCATTCATTTCATGATGATATGTAATTCTCGCGATCTAATTCTTAATCAGATCGTCATGATATTTCTGCACTTGTATTTAAGCAAAAATTAAAATCTTTAATAGATTTAAAATATTTTTAAATACATAAATTGTGTTTCCTTTAAGATATGTGACTAGAGCTTCGGAGCACTTTTTTTGAAATATGTAAATTTTCAACTAAATAAACACTTTTTTATTTGAAGGAATTCAAGTACAAATTCCGCATAATTAAAATTATTTTGGGATATATTGGGAATATTTGGAGTAAAATTTAGTGAAAAATTGCAGTTTTGGTAAGGCTTGTATTGAAAATTTTATTCATTATATTTGAATAATATTTATACAGTATGTAAATAACATATTTATCTATATTTGGAACTATAAGATTTGTGATAATTTTAAAAGTTTTTGAAATGTATCATTTTTTATGCAAGAACTCATTTTTTTACAAGAAAATAATGATATTTTCTCACAAAAAGTGCCATAAAATACATAAATATATACACAGAGATTAAATAATAGTATAGACTGCAGATAAAATAAATAAATCGTTTTCTGAAAATTTCAATTCAATATCTTAAAAAAAAGCCTTTAGTGAACTTTACCGTGAAGCAAGAAATTGAAAAACATAGTTTCTCACAAAATGCTTTTGAAGATTTTAAAAGAGTACAGAAATGTTTCTACTATTTGTACATTTTTAAACTCACCCTATTTATAGGTCAAGATATCTTTAATTTCATGTTTAACTATTTTGGACTTTTTTTTATAACCTTTTGATGTTTTCTGGAGATTTTTATAGACTATAACAAATGTCGTTGATCTACAAATCAAGCGAAAAGGAGAAGAGAAAAACTAACTTCAGAAACACACGTGAGCAGAGAAAAACTAGGCTAGAAACAAATCGAGTTCACAATGCTATTGCTCCAACATTAGAAACGAGCGAACAAAGACAAGCAAGACAACAAAGGGATCGAATTCGCAGGACACAGACAAGACGAATGATACATACTGACTTAAATTTATGTGGTTTCAATTAAAATCCCCTTTACAATTATAGTCTTCTTGCAAGTGTAATTATTGCAAAAATAGATAAAAAGTGTACGTATTGTGGTGCTCAAAAATTTAAAAATGAAACATCAGGTATCGGCTGTGCAGGTGAAAAAATAAAGTTACCAGATTTGTGTTCACTAGCTGAACTATT